GGAGCGTGCCACTGCACTCCAGTCTGGGTGACAGAGTGAGACTCCAACTCAAAATAAATAAATAAATAAAGAAACATTGCCAGGTGTGGTGGCTCATGCCTATGATCCCAGCACTTTGGGAGGCCGAGGTAAGAAGATTGCCTGAGCCAGAGGGTTGGAGACCAGCCTGGGCAACTTGGTGAGATCTCATCTCTACAATAAATAAATAAATAAATAATTAGCCAGGCATGGCGGCACATGCCTGTAGTTCCAGCTACTTGGATGGCTAAGGCAGAAGGATCACCTGAGTCCAGCAGGTCGAGACTGCGGTGGCCAGAAGCGAGCCATTGCCCTCCAGCTTGGGTGCCAGAGTGAGATTCCATCTCTAAATAAATAAATAAATATTTACTTTCAAACCTGTTCATGATTTCATACTTTTTTTTTTTTTTTGAGTTGGAGTCTCACTCTGTCGCCCAGACTGGAGTGCAGTGGCCGCTCCTGGCCACTGCAGCCTCGACCTGCTGGGCTCCGGCGATCCTTCCGCCTCAGCCTTCCAAGTAGCTGAAACTACAGGTGCGTGCTACCACACCCGACTAATTTTTTTGATTTATTGTAGAGATGAGGTCTCACCAAGTTGCCCAGGCAGGTCTCGAACCCGCAGGCTCAGGCAATCCACTCACCTCGGCCTCCCAAAGCACGGGATTACAGGCTGAGCCACTGAGCCCGGCCAATTTCATACTTTTTAACAGGATCTCCAAACTGTTTATGTTTAGGACTCATAAAACCTGGCCCTCAGTGAGCTCACAGCCTGGTAGAGGCTTCAGATTAAAGAAATAAAAAACCCGTCATTAAATAAATTGCAACCCTGACTGTAACAGGAGCATGAAGTACCTGGGGAAAGTCAGGAAAGACTTCCCAGACAAGGGCACTTTTGAGTTGGGCCTTGAAGGATGCTTAGGAGTTTCCACGCAGAAACTGTACTAAATACATTCCAAGAAGAGGACCAAGGAGCTCATCCTGGGAATAGGTTGGTATGGTCAAATCAGGCTGCACAGAAAAGTGGATAGGAATAACAATATTAACAAGAATACTAATTCCTGGCCCTTGACCAAGCTCTGTGCCTGAAATGTCCCCACCTTTCGTGACTAGAGACAAACACCTTGGACATCACATGCTTTATCCCATATAATCATTACAACCTGTCTCCATGACCCTGCAAAGAAAGCACTCTCATGAGCCATATTTAAATGATGAGAAACCTGGGCACAGGCAACGATAATAAGTAAGGCTGGTAAAGCAAGGGA